TTATACCTACTATTTGCATTGTACTGGCTGCATATGTTAGAAATAGTATCAGCCCCGAGGCTGCTTGCTTCAAAAACAGAACTATGATTAATTCAGTGCCAAATGTTTATGCATCAGACAGAAATAAATTAGTATTCCTTTATAATTCATACAAGACAAATTAGTGGCAATTAAAACTCTTTCATATACTTCAGAGTGCACTCTAACTCTCTCTTTTCTGCCTTTACAGCAAACATTAGTTTCTAAGACATAACAGGAATGCTTTTTCATAGGGAAATGGCAGTGTTTCATGTGGAAAGCATTCCCTAAGCATGCTGTGGACAACTGTATATCCACCTCATAGCTATTGCTACAGCACTGAGGCTTCATTCATCTCTTCCCTGTGTCCCGCCTCTGGTCATAAAATGGATCGTACATCCTTGGGTAAGGGAGATATTGATCCTTAACTTTGGCAGAATTATACCTACTACGTTGCTAGGTTTGTTCCATCTTAATAATTACATGTGTGTATATATAATATAGGTGGTTATGTGTGTTTTTCATTTTGTGCTTGTCCACTTTGTGATTTTTTTACTTGCTTAGGAGTGCTGAGTATGTGCAGTTGTGATGTCAGAAATAACTATAGCTTGCCAGTGCATTAGCTGAGAAGATAGCATCCCCAAGTATTGGCATACAGACAATGAATTACCTCTGTGAGAATGGTGGTCATTTCTGAGGTTAGCAGCTTTGGTATTATTGTAGGAAGTACATGTCTAATCTCTAAAACTTTAGCATTTCTTTTGAGAATGTCTGAAATGCACATTAAAAGAAAGAGTCCCTGCCTTCAATTTGTTCATAAACCTGTGAATCAAATTCCAGTGGAGAAAACGCTTTGATACTGAAAGTCAATTGACTCCTTGTTGCTTTGTGGCGTTACCTATAACTTAGGTTCTCAGTGCTGTGCAAGTGCATTTGTCTTTATTAGGCTGGTGAATGTAGTCCTGTTCCAAATGAGTTTTTGTGTTTGCTCAGCAGATGCTTGCAAGAATAAGAGTAATATTTGAAACACATTTTAATTATTGAGTCTATAAACAGTATTATAAATACTGGCAATCAACAGAACTAGAATTAGCTTTAGATGAATCAACTCCTAGCCTTTCTAGAGGATGATTCATTTTTAAATCTTAAAGCATTAGACAAATTATACATTTTTAAAGGTGAACATACCACTGAGGTTGGGACCTAACTATCTTTTAAGGGATGTCTTAGTGACTCACGCAGTAGTTAACTAAACAAAAATTCAGAAGAGGCACAGATTTTTCTTTTAATCTTAATCACTGAAGCACTATTAATCACTATTTGCAGGACAGTCTTCTCTTTTACTAGACAAAAAGAAATTACAGATTCTTTGGGGTGATTTAATTTAGAGCAGTGGCCACCATAAAAAACCTGTTTGGATCATGCTGTGTATATAAACCCCTTTTTTGGGGCAGAGTTTTATTAGAATACGGCTTTCCATGATTATCAAGCCAGGAAAAAGAAGATAGATCACGAACTTGTAGGTGACGCACAAAGTTCTTACGTATAGGCAAGGCAATGCCACAGGAACAGTGCAGCGATGGAGGGTCAAAGCAAGGCCACGCTGCCACCTGCTGACGCATAGGGGATGGTAGCGGGTTGATTTCCACGGCACATCGAGCACTCGTCAAGCAGGGGGTCGGAGCCGCGTGGAAACAGGGCAGGAGGCACTCAGCACAGGCAGGATGCCCATGTCCTTCCGTGCCTCCTGCGGGCTTCCGAGGAATCCCCAGAACCTGCCACAGGTCCATGTCTCTCAGAAGACGGCAACCGAGCAAGGCGTGGACTAAAAGCAGTGATTAATGTGCTGCAGCCCAGGCTTTCCCTGTATTCTTTTCCCTGCTTTTCCTTGTATCCCTTCAGTAAAATAAATGGCCCTTTTATTGGACAGAAGGGTGAAGAGAACAGCAGTAGGGGATCCTGAGAGCCACAATTCCTGTTTATTTACCCAAAGATCCCAAACCCAGCCTCAGGGCTTCCTCTGCAGGACTCTTGTGAGAGCTGCACCCAGAGCAGGGTTAAGATGAGACATTCACACGCTCCCGAGGCACAGCACTGTACTCAAGTCTCTTGAGCATCTCTACAGTGATTCTCTGCATCTAAAACAACCACAGTATTTCCTATTTGCAAATAGTAACAAGTAGGAAAGCATTTATGATATGTATGTAATAAAGTAATTTAGAAAATATAAAATAGCCATGCAATTTACTTGTGGTTAATGTAGCAGATTAAAAAAAAAAAAAAAAAAAAAAAGAAAAAAAAAAAGCAACCAAAAGCTTGCTTATTTTCTGTGAATTACAAGAAAGGCCTTGATGAAAGGCATAGCATAACTATCAAATAAAATACCATTTTCATAGTATCATAGAATCATAGAATGGCCTGGGTTAAAAAGGACCACAATGATCATCGAGTTTCAACCCCCCTGCTATGTGCAGGGTCACCAACCACCAGACCAGGCTGCCCAGAGCCACATCCAGCCTGGCCTTGAATGCCTCCATGGTTTTTGCTAGTATTGGATTCAGCTAGCTAAGTCCAAACCCTGCAGTGAGCTCTGCTGTGTAATGCTTAGGAAGTTTCTGCACAGTCTGTGCTGTAAAAACGATAACGTTTATCAAAGCTCTAAAAAGTACACATTCTCTGCTGCCATAAATAATCTAACAAAATGGCTGAGCTATATGGGAAACCTTGGCATGTTTGCTCAGGCCCTTGAAATGTAAATAGTCATAAGAACTCATCACACCAAGTTTTATTTTTTTATGAAACTTAATTTGAAATGCAGCATGTTGCCCTCTATCTGAAGAATTGTATATTCTGCTGCTATTGGATATGACAGGTTTTTGCATTAAAAACCCTCTTATTAAATGTAAACCTTCAGTCACAGAAATGAGAATTACTACCAAAAAAAGTAAACGGACACCTTTTTGTCTGTTTTTTAGTTAGTTAGTTTATTTGTTTTTAATATTCAATATGATTATGCTGGTTCCCACAGTTAATCAATGAATAAGTTAGTAATAAGCTTCTGACACAGTGAAGGGATTCTTTAGAAACTTTTCAAAGCAAAGAAACTCAACGGAAGGAGAACTCTTGAAACACAATGGTTTATTATGGAACATGTTCTTCAGCTGGATAAATTGAAGGAGTGGCACCTTTGTAATAAAACTCCAGATTACATGCCTCCAGCAAGGAACAGATTAAAAGAAAAGCAAACAGAACTGTCACATCAGAGCCATCACCCATTGCCTCGGCCCTTTCCAATTATCGACATTTCCAAAAGCAATGATTCCACTTCAGAACTGTTTTTCTGAAAGCGTTTTATAAACAAAAATTGAATTTTGAAAAGACAATCTTTAAATAGGTTTCACTTGAAAATACTAGCATTTTGTATCACAATAGCACATATATCATAGGCAGAAAATGCCTTTCCTTTTCTGTAAATTTATGCTTTTCTGTAAAGTTATGCCTGAATATAATTTAAACATTACATATAAAGCATTTCCCATGGTATATATTTCAAATATACAGTGTTTACATTCTAAGATAACAATATTTTATAGCGTATTTATGTTTTACATTTCTATCTGTATGTATGCTTTACCCATATCCAGATCTTTCTGAAATGAAATTTAACACTGGAAAGACTTCTTAATCAGAGCTTAGTATAACAGCTAGTGCTTTGGAACATGGAAATTTCATATTTTAATTTAGAAACAAGAAGAATTAATTTAAAAGCACAAGCACTTTTTGCTAGTGTAACAAAGTAATTTAGTATAGTAATTATAGTAATTTAGACAGGTGTTTCTAAATGTCATTTTTATTTTCTTCATAGAAGTCAAAGCTTGCTGAGGTGACAGTCTGTGGATGATGCCACATTATTCATATAACAGTAATAAGGCTGACCAAAAAACTGCAGAAGGGCATTGTGGAACCGAGTAACAGCGGAATATGGCAGTCAGTGAAGTCCAGTGTAAATGAATATCAATGAATACACACAGGGGAAAAAAAATGTCTTAATTGTACATGGTGAATAGCAAGTTTTGAAGTGATTGTAATTCAAGAAAAAAGATCTCAGAGTTACAACAGACATTTACGCATAACAGCTTTTGTGTTTACTGAGTAGAGCTGGAGCGGATGGACAAAAGCAGCCTAGAGAAGGTTGGGAAGGACTGGCTGTTATCTTTTCCAGTTCAAGGGCTGCGGACATCAAGCGAAGCAATGGGAATCAGGTTCCAAGTTTAAAAATGTGGAAGGTGAAGGTTCTTCAGACAACGGCTATTTGAGCTCTGGAACTACTTGCCAAAGGATGTGGTGAACAATAAACTCTGAATGGGTCAATGGGAGACTGAGCAAGTTTATGCAAGAGAGATCAGCTTTATTTCCTTATACTTGTTTAAACACTGTTTAATTCATCATTCTCTGTAGTCTGTCTTTACTTTGCCAGACTGTAACTTGCCTCGAGACATTCTAAGTGCCATGCAGTTTATTTCCAAGCAGATGACTGACGGGTGGGACGCTAAATTGCCATTGCTCTCTGTAATTGTGCTTCAAAATACTGCCTGGAAAAGACACTGAAAGCTGTCCAAGGCTAGCTATGAGATGGCCAGCAGTGTGTGCACTGCTCTCCACGGTGTAAGACTGCAGTGCAGAGGGGCGCACCCCACCTCCCACCCCTGACAGGAAACCTTCCCGCCCATCCCCTCGCACCGCCGGAGGCGTGACTCCCATAGGCGGGTTGCGGCCGGCGTGGCCTGCGATTGGCTCGGAGCGCGGCAAGCAGGTCACGTGACGGGGGAGGGACCAGCATCGGCCGACCTGCTTATAGTCGCCGGGCGGGAGGGAAGGGGGCAGTTTGTTGGGTGCTACGTGCGTGTTGCTGCAGTGTGCTGTGCGCGAGCGGCCGGCGGTAAGCGGGGGCTCTGTGCTACTGGAGAAGAGCGGGGCTGGAAGGCTCTGCGTTTGGATCTTGGCGGGCTCCGGGCGCGCCTCTCCATTGGCTGCGCGGCGCAGGGGTGGGGCTCCGTCTCCCGCCATTTTGGGCGTGCGTTACTTCAGGTAGGGAGGTAGGGTGCTTCTGAGGGGTGTCCGGGCTGCTACGGGAAGGCTGTGGGAAGGCTTCGCAGCTGCCGAGCTCGTGGTGACCTCTGGCATCTTGCTGGTGTAGGGCTAAAACGCGTGGAGCTCTGAGCTGAAGGAGCTTCCTAACCGCGTGACTTTGGCTGAGTTCTTAGTGCTGCTGTAAGAGCTTGCGAAGTGGGATCGTAATACTCTGGCTTTAGCCGTAGCCAGGTATTCTAATTTTTTTTTATTATTATTTTCTATTCTGCAGTGATCTGATGAATTCCAAAATGAAACAAAGCCTGAACGTGGAGAACCCATCTGGATCTCTGCAGGTATGAGCTTTGAGGTGTTGCTGCTAGAATGCAGGAGCATGTAAAGAACAGAAAGTGCAAGGTGCAAGTTGGCGAGTGCTGTGTTGTGAATAACCTTGGTGTGTTTGAAGGTGTGCACTGTGATGTCTTGGAAATGGGCTGTTAGAGACACAAACCATATATATCCACTTGAGGTATGCAACGTGCTCCCACCTGACTTAATGCTCTTGTCTTGGGAATGCTGTATTCTGCTTGAGCAGATGTGTTTGAGTGCTCTTCAGTACACAACAAGTATGTATTAGCTTAAGTCTGAGGTAGCTTGCTGTCTTAAAGCTGCTGCTGGCCTGCTGCAGTTCAGTTACTGTGTTTAGGACTGTATGTAGGGCTCTACAGAGTGGGTTCTGTTGTGGGGGTGAGCTTACAGGTGAAGCCATCTTGGTTTGAGCATACTGTAATTGTTGTAAGTCTGTAGGTTTTTTCTACAACCACTTTAATAAGTCTTAATTGCCTTGAGATGATAGCAGAGCTTACTTTTATTTCCGAGCTAGCTGTTTAGAAGTTACCTGAGATTATACTGAACTTTTTTTTTTAATTAAATGTAGACCTTGACTGGAACTGGAAAATATGACATAATGTAGTCTAATAGCACTCAAGAGAGATTGATTACAATAAGAATTTATTAGTGAAAATGATCTTCGATAAGTCTGCTTTTTTTTTTTGTACTTTCAAATACTTAATTGTGATGTGTTAAGTCAAGTATTAGTCAATAGTTCCCTGGCAGAGCATACTAAATGCTGGTCATCAATAGCAGCAAGCAGTGTCTGACACAGTGTGATTCCTGTTCCCACAGTGGTTAGTGTTTGTCCTGCAGTTCAACAGCAGGGTAATTGGTGGCAGAAACTACCGTGGGAAAGGTGAGCTCCTGTCATACGAAGCATGGTGTGGATCGGTGACTTTCTCACGCTGGCGTGGCATTGTATTCTGGTTATTTTTGCTTGGTTTTCTGCCATTGTTTGCTGTCCCATGGTGGCCATGTAACCAACCCAATCAGAGAGCATTAGTGTAGGAAATAGATATTTACGTACAAGAAGAAAAGTAACAAATATATTGTTTATACAAAACAGTAGCCTGTCTGGATCCAAGCAAAGAAGTTGTGGCTTCACTCTGATTAACTGAAGCAACACCATATGTATAAATGAATACCATTTATGTGTTCATAGACAGTAAAACCACCAATAAAACAATGTAGCATGGTAAATAAACTTGCTTTTGCAGCCTTTGTTTCTGTTCCCCCAGAGTGTAATACTGCTGTTGTCAAACATGGCTTTGGGAGCTTTCATTGTAGCATGTGTTATACTGCTTTTCAACTGGCCTTGGAATGTAGTCATGCATTTCTGCCCAGTGGCCTGTTTAAGCTCTGTTGAGAAGACTGAGGGTAGAGATTGAGCTTGGCTTGATAAGATTACCTCTGTTGTAGAAGACTATATTCCTTTCTTTGCATAATATTCAAAGTAGGTTAAAATATCATCTCTTTTTGAAGAGGTGAACAGTCCATTATGCTAATGGCAACATGGCAAACTGGAGTTTCAGTTTATGTAGGTAAGTGTGGCAACCCTTTGAAGCAGTGTTTCCTTTCTTTAGAAGTACTTCACAGACACTGCATGCAGTGCTGCCCCAAGACGGACTCTTAAGATGATTCAGCCTTCTGCAAAAGGTTCCCTGGTTGGAAGGTGTAATGAGGTAAGAGAATCACTTGTAGAAATAATTACACAGCTACTTGTACTGAAGCTTCAACTGAAAAACATGTAATCTACTAATTAGTGACATAATCTAAGCTTACTGTTTTAGTAACAATACTTAAAATTAATAATTGTGGAGTATTTCAGGAAAACATTTGGGAATGTTCTTATAGAAAACATCCATTATAGTCATATTTTATGTAAGCTTGAAATATGTGAAGAAATTGGAGGTGGTAGTCTTACTTGCAGTCCTGGACAAGCTTGCACTTGCTAACTTGTATTAAGAAAACAATAAAAACATACATTTAAATGCTGCTCTGAAACTAAACCTGCTTTTGTTTTATGCAGAAGAAATCTTCAGTCAAGAGGAAACTCTGGAATAACCGGCTTACCTCTTCAGCTTGTAAAGCTGAGGAATCTGTGGACAGAGAGCAAGAAAATGAGAATACAGACGATGTTATTCAAGCTGTAGATCTCATAAAAAGTATGTGGTAATTCTAGGAATAATTTCTTGCTCTTTAAATGCTGTCTTTCTACTTGAAGCATGACTTGAAGCATGGTTGTTTTGTTAGGTAAGTGTTTTTATGTAGTGTTTGGGGGAGCTGATGATACTTTCCCACTGTAGTATGTTAAATGCAGTGTATTTGTCTGCTATTAAGAGTGGCTCCCAATACTGATTACCATGAACTCTCTGTGCGATGTTAAGTCTGGTAGTTCTCTACTTCAGCTTATCTATGGGCTTTCAACTGACTAAGCTGAAATGAAGGTCTGTTCTGCTGTAGGGTGCTGATGCTGAAGCTCCTGAGTTTCTCAGGACTAATTATAAAATACTGTGGGTTTTGTGGGTGTTAGTGTTCAGTGTGGACAGTGACTTAAGAGTAAGACTCGTGTCTTCCACATGCTGTAATATTTGGGACATCTTCTAGGAGACTCAGCCTATATAGCCACTAATAAATGTGGGGTCTTTTTCTCTGAGCTTGCGTTTCTCAACGTAAATGTGCTACTAAGTGTGTGGGGAAAACACTACACAGTTTCTATTCTTGCAGTATCTGGAATGCTTGTATGTGAGTTAGGTACCTTAAGGTGATCTCCTGAGTTCAGTCCTAGCTTGGACTTACTGTAGCTTCTTACTTTAGAAAGTCCTTCATCTCAATATTGGAAAGAAGTGGCTGAAGAAAGGAGGAAGGCTCTGTATGAAGTGCTTCAAGAAAATGAAAAGGTAGCTGGTGAAAGTTAACTAACTTTTGTACCACCAGCAGCTATTGTTCCTCTGTTTTAACAACACTTTTTTTGTTCAATTCAGTTGCACAAAGAGATCGAACAAAAAGATGGTGAAATCGCCCGCCTAAAGGAGGAAAATGAGGAGCTCATGTCACTGGCTGAACACGTGCATTATTTGACCAGCATGATCGAGGTACTTAAAAGTAACATTGTAGGATGAAATAGGAGAGATCTGTGAGGCTGTTATTAGCAAAGCATGACTTCATTTGTGTGCTCATAGAAATGTAGATTATTGTTTGAGCTGCTTTCCACAGGCTAGCTCTGATAAGAGGCATAAGAGCCCTTTTTGGGGAATGAGTTTTTTTCCAGCTTACACTTGGTTAAGGAGCTGCAGCAGTATCAGAAGTACTTGGGAGATATGTTCTCCAAAATGAAGATTCAACCTGTTGTCTCCCAAGAACAGTCTGTGCATGTTAGAGATGGTGACATGCAAAGGAAGAGTTAACTTGCACTTTATTGGGATGAGTTAACTTTTTTGCCACTTTGTGGCCTAAGAAAAGCCTAATGTACAAAGCCTGTCTGCAAGGCTTATAAACTTGTAAACTGTAAAATGTCTTGTTTAATTAAAAGTGGTACTATAGATGCTAATATTGCTGAACTCAATAAAAATTGAAAAGTATGCTTGATCAGCAGAAGGTCTCAACAAAGAGCTGGGAACCAGAGCTTAGTTACAGCCTTACTCTTTTAAGGGAGAGTGCATCTCTATGCCTCAAGGAAGATAAGTCACCTGCAAGAGCTAAGGCTGATTCCACTAGCTGCTGAATAGTTCTTGAAAACATGTTTGGTGCTTTAAATTGCAGACCTACAGTAGATTTAATTTCTGGAAGTAGCTGCTGTTCTTTCTCTCGGAGAGTTCCTTGGAGACTGGTAGCCTTGCTGCTGAGTCTGTGAAAGCAGGAATAGCTTGCCTATAGCAGCCCTGGAACTATAACAAATAAGCAGCCATGAAACCTGGATGTACATATGATCATGTAGTTGGTTAGTGTCTGGACTGAGCTCTCTTGTGACATAAGAAGCTGGGTGCCTGGCAGTCTACTTCAGTTATCTGATTGGACTGGACCAGTTGATCAAGTTTACTTCATGAATTTCACACTAATCGTCAAGTTTCAGTTAGTGTGATTATTTAGATCAGTCTTAAGACTCCATTGATTTACTCCACCTGATATTTCTGTTATTCAGGGAGTGTTGCTTGTTACTGGCAGACTCCCATGCAGAAATAATAAGCTTGAAGTAATGCTAAAGCATTAATTGTATGTAAAACATTTTCAAATACATCTTCTGAGGAGTGAGGTATATGAACCATGTCATGCACTGTTTTACTGATTACTAAACTCACTTCAGGCTGTCTTACTGGTTATTAAATTCATACAATCCCCTGTGGTTTTTCTAGAGGCTAACGGGGCAAGAATCTGATAATCTTGAGACACTGGAAAGTCTGGCTTTAGATGAATCCAAGCAAGAAAATGAAGAACTTAACCTTGGTGGTGATGCAGACAGCACTTCTTCAGAAGGGCCATCACAAGCATTGTGTGACTTAAGGAAGAGTGTCTTGCTTCAAGTGAAGGAAATTAACAACTGTGACCTTAAGTAGGCTTATGTATGTGGATTCTTTTAATTGCAGACTTCCCCTTGAAAGGACATACTACATCTTCTCAGGTATAGAAACTCTTGTGGGAGCATGAGGGTGGCTTTTAACTGAAATTATGTAGCAGGGAGTATCTCTATACTGCTTGTAAAACTTATTACAGGCTGCAGTTAGTTGCTTGTTTAAAATGCAAATACTGTGTATTTCAAACTGTTGTTTAAGTATCAAATGGTCTGACATAATGCATGAGAACTGAGAAATAAATTTTTGCCTTACCAAAGCAGTGTCTTGTCTGAGTTGAGGAATGGCTAATTTTAAGCTCCACAAGTTGATTGTGGCTGCTGTAGATGGAAGTTCTCAGTGTTTTTAGAAGGACTGCCTGGGCACTTCTGAACTCCCTTGATTTATTTTTATTTTATCCAGAATTCTGGAGAGCAGAATGGCTTGAGGGGAAGGGAAAAGCAAAAGCTGGAAAAAAACTTGAGTGCTGTTGGTGAGATGTAAGATTTTTATTTTTTTTTTTCTGAATGGATAATAAGACTTCAGATTGATTCTGAGGTTTAGTTAAACCCTTGCTTTGTCACTCTTAAATTATTGCTGCTGTCTTTTAAAGGAGTCTTTTCCAAGGCGTATAGGTGAAAGCTTACATAGAAAATGGTAGGGTTTTTTGAAATTTAAATTTGTCAGCTTATAGAATAGCTCAGTTGGAAGGGACCTGTGGAGATCAAGTCCAGATCCTGAGAGCTTTAGGAGCTAACCAGAAGTGTAATAACCAGAAGTGTAAAGCTCATCACTGAGGGCAAAATTGTCAAAATGCTTCTTGAGCTGCTGACAGCTATGGTGTTCACCACCTCACTAAGAAGCCTGTTGCAGTGTTCCACCAACCTCACAGTAAAGAATGCTTTATTAATGTCCAGTCTGAAACTCACCTGCATGTTTTGTGCTGTTGTTCTGTTATTGGTAATAAAGGAGCAGAACCTGCTGCCTCTTGAGGAGAGCAAACAGATGGAGACCACTCAGACTTGTGTACTCTGCCTCTCCTAGCGAGATGTAGCTTTCAGCCCTGTTACAAGCTTTGCCTTCTTTTGTGTGCTTTCAAAGGCCTTAGTATCTTTTATATTGTGGGGGTCGGAACTGCATCAGTGCAAGTATAGCAAGAGGATTGCCTGTGTTCACTGCTGGGCTATGCTTTAATACCCCCCAAATGTGGTTTGCCCTTGGCTGCCAGGACATGCTGCTGGCACATGCTGAGCCTGCTATCACCACCTCCAGTCACTTTCTGCTGAGCTGCTCGTCTCCTACTCTGTACCTGTGCCAGGCATTACTTTTCCAAACACAGAACCCAGCAATTACCTTTGGACATCGTGCTATTGCTATTACCCACTTCTCCATGGTAACTAGATCCCTCTGAAGCCTCCCCTGGATGCTCTTGCTCACTCTTCAGCAGCTGTTCTGAGAACTTGATAAAGATGAAGTAGCCATGCTTCAGAGCTGTTCCAGATGGAAACTGGCTGTCTGTTTTCAGAGTACTGTTCTTGGTATTTACCAAGGGATGAGGCAGTATGTTTGCCAGTACAGTGTTTACAAATGTTTCTCTTGTAAACACTTAAAGACTTGAAGTGTTTACAAGAACAAAAGGTACACTTCAAAAACTTTTGAGGACCTTATCTGATAGCCGTATACAGGAATAAAGTATTTCCAGCTCCAAGTGCTGAGGTACAAGGGAGAGTAGTGCAAGCTTTCTAGTCTTTGGTGGGATCTTGGCAGTTGTTTGGCAAGGGTCTTCCTTGGCCAGGCTCTAAAAGGTGGTGGCAATTGCAATACCTTGTGAAGAGCTTAATGCAAAATGCAATGCTGCATGACTTTCAGCTGGCTGAAATAATCGGGGATTTTAGTTAGTGGGTTTCTATCAGACCTTCCCAAAACAGGTGCTTCAGGGCATGCACAAATGCCTTCGGAGCGATCAGATTGGTATTTTTAGATTTCTTCTGTATACTATTGTTTCCACATGGGTGCCAGTTAACACCTGTTTCACAACACATTTAAATGGGTATATTGGAATCATTACAGGATTTCTGGCTTCCATTTAGTCCTGAATCTGGTAAGCAAAGCAAGGCATCGTGTTTTCCTGGGAATGTAATAAACAAAAGATTACACCCTTCAGTTGTGCTCAGAGGACTAAACATAATTCTTTCCATCACGAGTGTTTCCTTTAACTTGCGATAATGCAATGCTCTACTGAGTAAAACTAAAACAAAAAAAAACCTAACAGCTTGGATAACGGCTAACTTCTGTAGAACAATTTTCTTCTTGGGGGAGATGGGTAATATGGTCAAGTGACCTTATTGCCTGGATTCTAAGGTAGTGAAGGTTTTTCATGCCAAAGTAGTTAAGCAGTAGAAGCTGAGTTTTAACTTTTCATGGCAGACCTTTTATGCAGTGGAATTGAATTTATTTGTAAATAAATTCATTTTATTTCTATTTCTTCTCAGGTAGCGTTATTTTCAACATTTGGAGTAGTTTACGTTTCCTCAGAGCCATAGAAGGCTATGAAGTTTCATACATAATTCCTTGGCAAGTTAGACCAAGCGAGTGGAGGCAGCTGTTGGAACTCTTTTCATGTTTTGGTGTTTTCTAATTGATACAACACAAGCTTGAATGCTTGATAAAACAATTGTCAGAATGCTCTAAACCCAGAATTCGCATGCACAATCTGCATCTTGCATTTGTCTCATCTTCATTAAAACAGCCAAGAAGAATGTTTATTAGATCTAAATCGTGTGCTGTTTTTTTGATTAAGTTCAAGTAACAAAGGAAAGATGCTTTTGAGTACTTGGATCTTTCTTTGAGTTGAGAAGGACTTTGTGCTAAGTAAATCTTTCATGTCATTCATATATTCTGCATACCCTGCAGCATTTGGCCAGCCTGTGATTAGAACACCTCTTACTTTCAAAAATACACAGGTCAGTTAGTGATTACAGCATGCTTGCACTGGACAACTCCAATGCATACTGTGGCAATTATCAGAGAAACTAGTTTTGTTATTGAAAAAAAAAAACATACTGTGAGAACACCAGCTGTGAGAGATGAACTGTGGCTTGGAAGCTGAATCTGTATGTGTTCTTTGTTGCAGATGTATTGGACTTGATCAAGTAATATCTCCTTGTTATATCAGAAATATTAACTATAGAAACATCATCAGGAGCCTTGTGCTGCTGCATTCATCGCTGTTTAAAAATGTCCTAAAACAGTTGTTTCATTTTTTTTTTGTCCTGAATTCATTTTTTTTAAACATGCATGCATTGAAGTTGTCTTATCAAAGTACGAGAACTTTCTGTGTGTGGAAAAACTTGTCAAATGCGTGGAAGTTATATGTAGGCTATATGTATCTGTTACAGACATCTGATGTTTTATTTCTGTTCAAATATGTAAGGAAACTTTCACTTAGCACAGAAGCACAGCTCTGTAGCTGAAAAGCATCACTAAAGACAAAGGCATTTCATATCCAGCTAAATTACAGAGAACACTGTCATGCAAAACAAAATTATCAGTTCTGGGACCTAAGTAGAGAAGGTGATTTTTCCAAGAAGTCATAAATGCCTTTGTGCAACCACCTAACCATCATGCTGCCTCTTTTTCATTGTTCAGCCTGTGGTCACAGTTTGATCTTTTGCTGATGGACCTTAAAGTTTCACAGATGTGGGATGCATTTACTGGGTCCTGGCACTTTTCCACAAAGAAATGTGCACGCCTTGAGGACAGAATGTCAGGTATGTAAGACTGAAGTGTTGTGAGTCTGGACGTGTTTCAGGAAGGAACAGCTGTGCCTGGACTAGCAGAGACAAGTAATCATTGGTTTGGAGGGGGCTCATGTTAGGAAGAATGTTTTAGCTGGAAGACAAGCTCAGCAAAAATAACCATCTCAGTGCAGAAGTTCATTGTATTGAAGACAATGCACAGAGAAGTGAATTAGACCACAATAACTCCTTGGCTGGACAACTAAAATCACTTGATGTTTGGCACTGTATTGCTTGCCTGAGTGACCACAGCACTGACGTGTGCTGCAGCTTACTTTGCAGCCTGCACACAAATAAGAAAAAAAGATCAGTTTAGTTATTTTTTTTCAAAGGAAGTACACTGTGTATTCATTTACTTTTCCTTAAGGGCCATCTGAGGTTGTTTTTAGAACTGAATTTGAGATTTTGAGCAGGTTTGAAAATCTACCAAGCCCTCATTAGTGCTCTGTTCCTGCTGAGACTGAATTGCATTGTTACCAGCTCTTTCTTCAGAAATCATTGTGTATTGTTAACTTATGTTTCCATTCGCGTAATAACAGGGTAGTTGAGAAATGATAAGGATGAGGAAATGATAAGAAAACTATTTTCTGCTGCTTTGTAGATCTGCCAACTGACCATGATGAAATGTGATTGGTCATGTTCAAGGCCAAACCCTGGGGACAGCGATACCTCTGGGGCACCTAAACCAGCTGAAGAGGAGCACTGTGGGTTCTATCATCAGGTAGGATTGCAAATTGAGGTCCATATGTAGGATACACAGTCCAGCAATCCTACAGACTTCTAGTTTTGAATGTTTCATGTAATAATCAGTATATAACAGACTGCAGCATGGAGCAAAGCTACATTAGATGGCTTTTTGGAGGCATGCTGATTCCAGGAGGAATCTTACGGATGGCAACGAGAAGCTCTGGGCAGGCAGATTGCTCCTGCTGCTGTAGCTGGAGGCTGTAGGTAACTGTATCTACTGGGCAGAACCCAGCAATGCTAACAGCATGGTGAAAACCATGGTAGTTCACAAAAAGTGTGAGGGGTAAAAAATAAGAACAAGCCACTGACACAAACACCAGGCAAATTTGATTCCTGAGAGCACTTAACCTGGCGTGCTCCTTAGACTCCACTGCTGCTGAGCAGGAACTGTTTTCTTCACATGCTTTTCTGGACCTAGTTTTAATGGGTTTTTAGAAGGCTCAAGGTGTTTGCTTTTTCAAGAATTTGTGACACCGAGGGCAGAAACTGCTGAGATTCCTGTTTGGTTACTTAAACTGAATGTAGGTTTTTTTTTCCTGTATGTTGTCACAAATCATGTTAAGACAAGACTTTTTCTTTTAGAAAAAAAGTAAATAAAAGAAAGCTAGTGCTTAAACTTACCTTTAGCCTTTATACATCTATATGCCAGGTTCAAGCTTGTCAGTCTCAGGTACCACAATAAAAACCAAACTCTGTGTCTCAGTGTTTGCACTCAGATATCTGTGAATTTCCTCACTGAGTCTGAGGGCGCAATTTTCTCATACCCATTTGGTGTGAGCTGTATATATGGGGCTTTCAATGATTAGAATACTGTAGTGGATGAGCTTTACAGTAACAAACTCACTTAAACTACAGTGAGACAGAAGCAAGTATGCGCCATCAACTCCATTTAGTGTAATACCTGTACGTGTGAGCAACCCCATGTTCTCTGTAGCTTTGGCTTTTTGATCTTCAGGCACTTCTGCATACCTCAGATCAGTTCAGAATGCAACACCTACATAGCTTTTCCCCCCCAAAAAAATTGCATTCTGCTCTGTGATGCACAAACTGTAGCCAAGCAAGGTTTGATAAGATCTGATGACAGATAGAAAAATATAAGAATATTCCTGGTTTCTTTTTAAACACTGTGTGCTTCTTGCTGATGCTCTGAGACAGGAGGAAGGGTGCCCACACAGAGACACTTGAAGCAAACAGAGGACGAGTGCTAAGAGGATGCACTCTTCACCTTGCTTCAAAAATACTATTTTAGTTTAGAACTTTTTTAATGTGCTTTTGTTCACCTTACAGAGATACAACTAAGAGCAGTCATTTTCACTATTGTTTCATCCCTCTATTTTTCCAAACTTTCTGATTTGTGTGTCTATTTCTGTTACTAAAACAGCTTGCTGCGTACCCTCCCTTGGCCAACAGAAAAAAGGAACTTGCAGCAGTTGTGTATACAAAAACATGAGCTAGTATTGTATCATTTCTGTGCTGAGTTCTGCCTATAGTAGTGGGGAGTGATTTCCATGGTAGTTTGAAAGTTACGTGAGCCTAACTATGGAGAGGATACTGGTAGAAAGAAAGATTATACATATGGACTGATGTGCTTAGTACTTAAAAAATAATCTTTATTATAACTTAAATGTGATAGGAAATAAATGTCACAAAACTAAAGGGGGGAAAAAAAAAAGCAGAGGTCAGTACAAAAGAACACCTTGAAAGAACTCAGCTGCTGGGACAGGTGTGGTACAAAAACCAGAACATGGTTATTTCACCTTCTGTATAAAGAGTCTATGTCCCTCAGTAAACAAGTAAGCATTTTGAACTGTACAAAATGTACCTTTTTAATTAAAGGGAGAATATATATATTTATAAATATACAGATATGTACATTGTTTAACATTCACCATTTAAAAAAAAAAAAAAAACAACAAAAAACAGAATAACTTCTGCCTGCCAATGTGTTTGGCGCTAAAGGCTTCCTTTTGATGTGAATTGGTTGCAATCTTTTCTATGTAGTCTATGCAAATTTGGATACTATAATTGACATCTAAATATCATTTCATGCATAATAAACACAGTACAGAAACACTCTTCTGCTAAATTCTGTTCACCTCCTCTGTTATCTTCAGGCTCATAATCAACAGCTTGAAGCACCGTCTTCTTGCAGTGGGGGAGCGAATGCATTCACTTCACACTGTTTATTACTGCCTCCAAGGTCTGCTTTAGTTTGTTTCAGTTCTTTATTGAAATCATTCTATAGAAGCTATCCTCCACTAATTACAGTGTGTGAAATCCAATCCTGCTTGCAACCTGCAGGACAGAATGGCTTTGGGGACTCGTGCAATTAGCTGTATTCATCACTACTTCTTAGAATAAATAAATGTGCTTTACCTTTTCATTTAGTTTTTCAAAACCTACATGGTTATTTGATCCTCATGAATCTCTGGATTAATGATGGTTCATTGCTGGAGGGTGAGAGAAAGGAAATAAAAGACTAGTAGAGGCATTCAGAATGAGTCACTAAAGTGACACCTCCTTGGGCTTGCATCATGCTGCTTCTGGAGGCAAAATTTGAAGAAACTCGCTCTGTATTTCATTACTGAGACAGCACATGGAGTTCTGGGCTGCTGGAGTGGTTCTGGGAACACTGTGAGGCAGCAGGCGCTTTGTTCGGCATTGGAGAGAAAGTTGCTTTGTGGTTCTGCTCAAGTGGCCTCCTACTCATCCATGTCACATATACACATCATGTGTCTCAAGTTTTCATGACCACTTCAAGGAAGTAAACGCAATTAATGCTCAGTAAAATATACAAAGATGCCAGATTCTAAAAACTCAGAGAAGTTTGCCAAGGCTGAGTAACTGCAATTGCATTATTTATTACAAACCAGTCAAGAAAATATTGTTCCTCAGCCTCATCTGGTTGTTCCATCATAAGCTGCAGAGGAGCCAATAGGAACTCTTTAGCTGTGTTTAGATTTTGCTTTTCCTTAAAAAGTTGGTGAATTGCTACATTTTGGGATGCTCCTTCAAAGTCTTCATTCTACTTCCCACGCTTAATGGCAGCTCCATCTTTCTTTCACGTCTGTTACGCTCAGGTTCTTTTCCTAAAAAGCTGTGGCAGATTCAGTTCCACGGCGACTTCCAACTCTGACGAATTCCCGAGGGAATTTGTCCAGCTGTTCGTAGGCCAGTCTCCCATCTTCACCTGAACACAACATGTTAAAGCATCATAGCAACCTATATCACTGCCATACAACATGTGAACTATTGGATTCTCTGCTATTAGAAGGTAACCGGTAACTTCTTTCCCTCTTAACGTTTCTTACGTTGTTGAAGGCAACTTCAGAAATTACTTGGAAAGTTAAGTATGTTGGTACAAGTAACTTAAGGATTACTTGGAAAAAAATGTTCAAACTATTTCTTAATTTGCCCTTGCAGGTTGCTTTTATTTAGAGCAAAACAGAAGCAGCTCTGGCTTGTATGGCTAGATGACAGAATCTGTACAACTATCTTACTTAAATGACCTGCAGTGCTCCGTGTCTCAGCTGCAGCTGTAATATGAAGCAGATGATGTTTATCTGTTTGTAATTTAGGTGCTTTCACCCACTTGTTGCTTTCTGGCACTTTTAAGAAGTGAGTCTAACCACATCTTGAGCTCACCATTAGCAATCAAAAAAAGGTCTCTGGTACATCATCTAGAAGAATGGTACAATCTTCCAGAGTTTGTATAAGTGACATAGGGTTAAATGTTTCAGAATCTGAGTACTCTGGCAGCAGAGTAAGTTCCTGCTAAATTGGTAAATGAAGAGTGTGTGTTTGATGAATTTGCATAAGTAAAATTAGAAATGGACATATACCCATGAGCAACACATTCTGTCTACCTTATGGAGTTGAGGACAGGCCAGAAAAATACAGCTTTGTTTTCTTTCAGTAAATGGAGTAGTGCCACTGAAGTACTGGGGTCCTGAAACTGTGCAGCCACAGTTCCAGTCATGCTGATACACAGCTAGATAACAGGTTAATGAGCAGGGTGGCTGCTGTCCCAGGGAAAAATGAAGGTCTCTGCAAGGTGTCTGAGGTTCTGTGTGAAGGAGCTGTTGCAGGTTAGGATCTGTCCAAATAAGCATATGGAGATCATTCAGCTCAAATGAAAGCTTGGTAGTGCTAATGGCACTTGCAAGTGTGATTTGTTTCAGTAAGCTGTTTAGGCAGCTAGGAAGTGCAGGGTACAGAGGATGCCCAGAACAGGGTGTGATATGTTGCAGAAGAGGAGCTGGTCCTGCCTCCTCAAGGAGGAGAGGTTACACTCCCTAGGACAAGCAGAACACAAATGCTGTTTTCTACATAACTTCAATAAAAGGTGTTGTACTGAATGCCTACACTTGTTTTGCAAACATAAGGTCATTATGAAGTAGATCCCTTTTGTCAGCTTTTCCTTTGCTGTTTTTCCATTTCTGCTCCCCCCCTAGACTCAGTTCAATTTCTCTTTTTGGTCCATTTTCATGATCTTCAGAATGAATTATTTCTAAGAACATATACTTTTAACCTGTTTTTGTGTAATTCAATTGTTTTATGTGTATTTCTGTTCAAAAAGGAAACAAAATGCTGCTGTAAAGCAGGCAACTCACCAAGTGAGAGCAAGGTTTCAGAGGCTACTTTTCTAATCTCTTCATTGTCAGACTGGCAGAGCATGACCAGCATTTTAATACTCTCAGTAGCCTGGAAAATAGAAAAAAAAAATCATATGAACACTACCTATTATGGTTTAATTTCAGAACATCATATAGGAGTATTTACCACCCTCTGTGTTTCCTTTCCCTATGCACTTGGAAATACCATCTTGTGTCCTTGGTCTTGTCTTAAAAGTGTTCACAAACCAAACTGCATGAAACATGCACAACCCTTCTGCCCTGTCTCACTTCATGCAGGATGAGAAGGGCTCCTGCTCCACGAGCTTTGGCCAGGAGGCTGTGCAGGGGAAGCTGCTGGAGTGCCCAGCACTAACATGAGAAGCCCCATATCTCATGCTTCATGCAGGAGAAACCATCACTCTGCTGTAGGTCTATTGCATGGAATATACTTTTTTTTGCTGTGTCCAGTGCCAGCTGAGTTAGCAAGCAACTGTTTTTCCTTTCTCTTATGGGAAGTAGTACAGAAGTGGTACCAGAGGTGAGCTGATAATGTAGCATGGCCTAAACTTCCTCTTACAGTCTCTCTGTGCAGTGTCACAAATTTGCTACGTATCTCTTCTACTGCTGCAATCTACATGCATTATAGTTAGTTTTATCCTGGAAAAGATTATTTTCTTCCTCTCCTTCAAAACAAAGCTTTGAAACTGTTTCCAAACAAGGAATCTGTAAAATGATATGCAGCAATGCAAAACAAAAGCTGCTGTTGCAATTTCTATTTTATCATTCTCACCTCTCAGGTGTCCTTTCTTTAAAGTAATGCCAAGAACCACGACTAAACTCCTTGTCTCTTACCTTGAGGTATCTCAGGGCCAGGCAGGCTGCTTTCTGCAGCTGGAGGTTGGGCTGGGTTAGCGCTTCACAGTAATAAATCAAGGCCTGGAGAAACATAAAGAGAAGTAGCCTTGAAAATGTCTTTGGCTGTGTGGAGCAGCAGGCTGGAGAGTGGAGTCTGCCACGAATGGCTGGAAGTCAACCCCTAATTTCTTCTCATTCCTTTTCTCCCATCTCTTTAATTTCTGTGCTTAATCTGGCTTTACTTCCTACCTTCAGCATCTGTGCTAGACTCACATCTTAGGTGGCAGATCTCAGTTGCCAGCTTCCTTTAGGGAAAAAAAACGCAATCTACATCTTTGTGTGCTGATGATGCTGGGGACTTGCCTTCAAGCTGGGTTTAAGGTAGGCTGGCACAAAAGCCAAGATGTGGAAGATAGCTGTAGAGTTCTGTACTTCCTAAATACATGCGTGGTCTGGTTTAGCACCTGTTTAGTACAATGACAGGTAGAAGCAGACTAGCATAATGATAGAAATAAACCTACATATTTGCAGAAAAAATAGGTGGAAAATCCCTCTGGTTCAGTTTAAATCAGGCTCAGAACAATCATTTTATAAATGTAGACATTTGAGACACACAGACAGAAAAAAAACTTTATGATTATATAGGTCCCTTATGCAGTAGGTGATTTTCTGCCACTTACCTTCTCCCTGAAGTGCTTGTTTTCTGCAGTAGCTGTCAGAAGTGATGCCACAGACTCACTGACTTCATTTTTATTTTCATTGAGAAGTAAAGCCAAAGCTCTCAAAACTTCTTGCTGTGGTGGGAGGTTGTTGGAGTTTATTTTGGACACATTTTGATGCAGTTTTCCATCTTTCACAGACTGCAACATCTGAACCACAGAGGCTAGAAGTGTAGGAGGAAGGCTTTTGTTACTTTTTTTTATCATGTGTTTCAGATTTCTCATTTCCCCACCAACAATCCTCGCTATATACAGAGGACAGATGAAAAATCCCCATCTAAATATTGCAGTATTGTGGTGTATCTTCACAGGGAACTGGGCTCTAGGTTGGGTTTGTTTCTCAGACATTCTTCTTAAGGAGGTGTATGGGAACTGTTGAGTCACAGCCTGAACCACTGATTGATCACCTGAGGCAAACACTGAGTCAGCTGTGGGAGCACAGGTGAAGGCAATTCAGCTGTGTGACTGGAAGGGATGGAGCCTGGCTGCACCTCTCTTAGGCCTCATTTCAGGGCTGACTGCCCCTGGGGAAGGATCTCTTTCTAGAGCTCACTTCTCTGTGTAGTTTTTTCTGCAAGCCTAGATCTTTGGATGAAGGTGAGTATTTTTTTTCCTGTTTTCATTGGAATAATCTTTCCAGCTGTAACAGGAGGATATGAGTAGATGGACTAAATGGGATGCTTTTGTATTGCTTAAATTCTCGTTGTAACAAGGGAAAACCAATATCCTAGCCACTGTATTGACTTCTAGTACAGTTTTATGGAAGTTTTTCCTAGGCAGGTTGATGTCTCCCATCAAAAGCCAGGGCTTATGTGTTTCAGAAGTGACCTGAAATGTCTTTTTCCTTCTAGACTTTTGATTAAAGTTCTCCGGTTAGAGAAAACTAGACTCAAACTGCATCTCAGCTAGCTCACTATAGAGTCCTGGAACTCAATGATCTTTGAGGTCTCTTCTAACCTAAGCTATTCTGTGATTTTGTGAAAACTTGACTTGCCAGGAATTGCAGTCTAGCATGCTTTGTGGAACATCTGCTTCTCTCTTTAAGTCTTGGAGGCAGAGCCTACCAGTGACCTAGGTGCTGTGATCCCTTGGCTCCTGAGAAGATCTCAGCATTTCATAGAATCACAGAATTCATGAGATGTCTGCATAAAGGAGGATGAAAGACTGGAACTCCACCAAAGCTGTGGGCATGGAAAACGTGCCAGGCCTTGGGCCTGGCTCAGCACTATCAGCTATTTCCTGAAAAGTAACTCAGTGATTTTTTTTTTTTTTTTTTTTCTTATTCATTTGTGGAAATAGAAATGACTGATAGTGAATCTGCATCAGCGCCTCCCCTTTGATATGTGCAGCTCTGGGATGCAGTCACATCTAGTATCCAAGGCATTTCTTTGCCTCTCCCCCATTCTCCTGTAAAATCAGAAGGACACCCATGCAATCTTTATTAGCTACTATATTTTGTATACCCTACCTTCTTTAGCAAGCTGCAGCAAATAGCTTCCAAGGTCATTAACACTGTGGCTGGCAAAATAGTTGTAATACTGAAAGACAGTAATGATTTCTGAGGACATGGTAGAGTAGAGGACGGGCTCTGTCCGGTCCAGAATCTGAGACACCAGGATTCGGAAAACTGCAGGGACAAAAGGATGTGTTATGAGAACAGAAGCTGCTGGCATTCCTGCCCAGGTGTGTGGCATGCAGAAAGTGAGCCTGGGAATATCCTGGAGGGCAGCAGAATGGAACAGGAAGGAAAACCCCATCCTGGGTGGGCATCTGCAGTCTGAGCAAGCCATCCTGTTCCTGCTCAGGGAGAGCTAGTCAATGGAGCTGGAGTTTGACAAGTGGTACATCCAACCCCAAAAAGAAACCTATGTTCAGATAGACACACTTGAATTTGTACACATTTCATGCCAGTGAACTGTAATGGGACATGGACATTATATTAACACGTTATGGTTGGACTAGGTGATCTTTGTGGTCTTTTCCAATCTTAATGGTTGTATAAAATTGAGAGGATTCCCACTGCACTGTATCGCTTTCAAATCTGTATTTGGGAATGCACTTTCTGATTACCTCATGAGTCTTTAAACAATGATTTCTCTTCACTTATTTTCTCCTATTCCAATCTGATTATTTCAGGCTAAAATTGTTCCAAGAATTTGTTGTATTAGTTTTCAAATAACATCTTGGAGCCATGCCCAAACAGACCTCCAGGGGTTGGAAAACAAAGCAATGAAAGCTGAGTAAAGCCCAGTGCAAAACTGTTCTCCCTTTTGATGACAAATAACTTCTTTGCAGCAGCAGGAGGTACCTGTTTCTGCAAGCCCTGGACATTCCTCGTTCACAGTGGCAGCAAAATTGATATCCAACTGCTTCATCATCTTGTCTGCAGATGTGTGATAGACTCCTGAAGGACCAGTGCACTTCATCCAGAAAGCCAGCAGTGACAGCTTCTTGTGGAACTCGGGGATTGCTGAAGGAGAAGACAAAATGAATGATGAAGCAAAGCTGTGCTCAGTGCACTCTCTTTCTAAAGGGAAATGTGATATGTGTGGAGAACATCCACTCCATGTCACTGATGGTCACCCTGTGTCACTGCCTTCACAGAGGTGGTCGCATGCTGACCCCAAGTTTGTGATGTGTTATTTCTGTTTCCTGAAGGAAGATGTGAGGAAAATCTGCTTCTGATCCAGTTCTGGACACTGTCTCATCTCTTTTAAATACCATGAATTACTAGGGGAAATAAATGGTCTGCATGAGACTGGTCCCTATCCAAGCACTGCTCTGTAGCCTTGGGTAAGTTACTCCATTTGGGACACACTGAGGAGTTGTCTTATGACTCCTGTAGCATAAGGCAGATCTTGAATTTCCTCGAGAAAGAGGTGGAGGACAAATTTGGCTGCCAAAGTGGCAGCATCCCCACCCTGTTGCTGCAGCTACCCCTGCTCACCTTCTGCATGTCAAGCAGGATAAGGATCAGTACAACCCCTTCTCACCTGCTTATTTCTGAATAGGAGTACATAAGACAGAATAAGGCAAGGCTGGAGAAGGCCTAGGCAACATGATCTAGCTGTGATGTCCTTGTCTATTGCAGGGGAACTGGACTAGACAGCCCTCAGAGATCTCTTCTAACTCTAAGGATTCTATGAATAAGGTCCCTGACCAGCTTCAGTGACTGCTACATCTGTTTGTGAGTTGTCTCCTGCTACGGTGCACTCCCTGCAGTTAATTACAGTGGTTATTTCGGCTAGCCTCCTGCCCAAACCAGCCCTTTTCAGAAGGAAGACCCCCTAATGTTTCTCTTACCATCAGTAAGGGAGGTGATGCTTCCCAAGTTCTCGGTGCTGATCTCTGCAATATTCTCCATCACAAGAGTCTGCCTGGACAGCTTATCAAGGAGGTCTCTTGTCACAAATGGTGTTTTACCAGAGAAGACAATTTGCTAATGGAGACAAGGTGGAAAGGAAGAAAAGGAGTCATTTTGAAGCTTCAAAACAAAACTTAAACCTCTGAAACACCTGGCACCTGAAGAAATGCAATGGCAAATTCTTTGCCTGGAATTATCAAATATTTCTTGTTGCTCTGCTCTGTTTTGGCTCTGATCCCCTGCCCAGCTGCCTCTGTTTGGTGCTTTCCCATGGCCAATACTCCCTGCTGCTGACATCTGTATTTTCTTCAGCAGTCCAACATCATTCATATCAAACCTGGACAGTGTTCAAGCCTGCCTCCCTCAGCTGCATATTTACTGTGCACTCTTGTAGACGAGCCCAAAACTCCCTTTTTCTCATACTTGTGAGTCAGCAGCGTCCAGCTTAGTGCTAAGGGTACTGGGATTAGAGTTGTTCTGCATTGCTACAGTGGGCTTCTGGTTATATCTGAGGTTGAAGAGTCTTCTCCCAAATGCTGGGACTGTTGTGGTGGGGGTGAAGAATATGGGGAGGGGAGGCTCCTACTGCCACCACAGCCATCCCAGCACTCGCTGGCCTTGTTAAACCATTTATCCCCATGAAAATGTAAAAACATAATGCAGAAATGAACTGTGCTCAGTACCTGGATGAGCTGTGTGCAGTACTGCAAGTGCTTAACTATGGTTATATCGAGGCTGTCGCTTCCTGTGGTCAGGGGCAGAGGGCTGCCAGCAACACTGGTGCCTACCCCTGTGTCCTCAGTCAGGGCTTCGCTGAGGTGGCCCCTGGCTTCAGGGTGCTCAGTCCTGTAACTGCAGAGGGAGGAGGAGGTTAGTGTGGGGCTGTGGCTGCCTGGGCGGACAGACACACACTCACTCAGAGATGGGCAACGAGCACGGAGCAGAGCTGAAAGCAGCGCCCTGGGGCCACACACCCCTTAGAAAGCCAGAAACATGGTGATGAAGACATCATGTCACGCGTGAGCAGAGGTACCTGAGGCACAGTAGGGACAGGCCTTGAACAACGTGGTGTCTGCACCAGCAAGTGTCTATAACCTTGCTGTCACATAGAGGCACAAACACTGGGGGTAAACACCCATCTCTCAACAAATTATCTCCCATATTAGTCCAGAAGAAATAGCATTACAGTTTGTACTGTCTCAAGTACTGAGCTGCTGAGAGCAGGTCTAGGCTATCAGCATCTTCCTGGTGCTAAATTCAATGGTCTCTGCAGAAGGGAAACCACTGCTGGAATATGGGACATGATATTTTCATAGGCTGCTTTAGGCACACTGTGTACAGCTTAGTTTGCCAGTAGTTTCTGTAAGAACGTAAAGCTGTTCTCGCTGCGTTTTAAATCATTATTTCCAACTTAGTCTTGTACAAATGGTCCTCCCTGTGTTTCAATACAAAGCCCGAGGTCATGCCCCAGACTGTTAAGTGTGCTTGGCTGCAGGGCTGGGAGCGTCAGTGCCTGCGGTCCTTTCACTGAGTCGCATGCAGCTAAAAGTGGAAGCAGGAATCCACATTGTCTGGGATGAGCCCAGGGGGGAACATGAGATTTTTAACTTCAAGATTTTAGTTAGGTTCCAAGTTAGCTTGTAACTAACTTCAATTTCTTCTGCTCAAATTAAAATTATGATGAAGTGCCAGCTTAAAGCCAAATCTTTAAATCAATGACCTAAGCTCAGAATACCAGAACAGCAAGCAACACAATTTTCTGAGTTTTTCTTCCCACCCTATCTCAGCCTGGGAAGAGTCAACACGGAAATGATGGGAACTGAATGGTTGTTGCTTGTTTGCACTCAGAATTGTTTTGAACAGGCCATGATAAGGTGTGAGAAGCAGAGCTTCCCTGTTGAAAAGCACGTGGGCTGAGGGAGATGCGCTCTGCTTTTTCTTTTTTCCTGCTCTAGTGCCACACGTAGGCAGTGGTAAGGAAGCAGATGTGCTTTTAGGATCTAATGATCAAAACACAGCATCTTACGGTCACACAACAATGGCAAACCACAACACAAAACACCACAGCTTTTTTTTTAATTTTCTCTTTTTTTTTTTTTCCCCTCAAAAAGACCAGAAGTGATGAAAGAAGGGCAGGTAACACGCAGGGCCATGGACAGAGTACCAGTCATCACTCTTACATTCCAAAGGAAACCTACACCATGCTGCTTAAATCTGGCCCTGTGTTACTGTTATTGACAAGCTTAATCCACTGCAAAGACTCATTCGGCTAGAGAGAAAAGACAAAGGGAGGGGGGAAAAACCACAGAGGAATTAGTCATTACATCCAAGGAAAGCCAGGTCCAAACCTATGTCAAGGAAGAGGCTCTGCCAGTATTGATGACAGCTTAATTTAATTTACCCATCTCTTTTTGGGGGGTAGATTGCACATATTTGAAAAGATTATCCTGGAAGCTAAAGATTTGGTACGCAGCAGCCACCGGAAACCCTCTGACCCTATAAACTCCTCCAGGATTTGTCAATCTTCCTTGAATAATGTATGCACCGGGATCCTCTGTTAGCGACAAAGAGCTGGGGGATCAGTTTGGCTTAAGCACAGCTGGCAGTTGCTACAAACTTACCTATTCTTCTCAACCTCAGTATCTGAAAATACTGAGTCTGCACCTCCTCCACCATTACAAACCTCCTCACCACCACCATCCTCATCATCAAAGTCAGAGGTGTTCAGGAAATCAAAGCTTTCTAAAGCACTTTCAACTGTTAGACTTAAACTGGAGGACCTGCTTCGGCTTACTGCTGGCTTGCACTGCAAAAGCAGAACGAACCAATGAAAACCCCAGATATTAGCTACTACTGAAAGAAAAACATAGAGGATAAAGCTTAAAATTTTCAAATTCTTCATTTTATTTATCATACTTCATTTTATTGGGTATTTCATTTCAAACCTTCATATTCATAGCATACACAATCAAAGCCTGGAAACTAGAAAATCCCTTTCTCCTCCCCTCCTACCTCCTCTTTCGCCCAAAGAGAAGACCTGCAAAGGCAAAAATCAGCATGTTTTATAGAAAGAACAGGTACATCTCAAGTCCAAGTGACACAGCTTTCAACATCCTCCAAAAGGAGAGATGGTAATTAGAACACTGGAATTTGAAAAAGAAAGGCACATTGCATAATGGCTGTTACAGGTACAAAAGCAGATTTATATATAAATACATATACAATGGCACTACTGAATGTATTCCAGATATAACTCCAATGAAGCTAAGCCATATTGGTCCCACATCTGCAGATGTATACATGTGATGGAAGAGAGAGGACTTCTGCGGCCTTTGAAGCCACACTGCTTATGAAGGAAAATGCACTGATTTCCTAGGTGACAGAAAAAGGTAGCATTCTAACATGCAAACCAACAGTGCCTAGAGAGGGAGGAAGTCATCCTATCTCACTGCTGGGATGAAATACCACCAAGGCCTTGCTGGTGCTGCAGGAAGTACCAAAGCCCTGGTTACATGTGGTGGTTCATCCAGGTGTGCCCACAGATTTGACGCCAAGGTTATTTTGCCAGAGCAAAGGATGATCAGCAGATGGAGTTGTGTGAGGACTTCTGCACCTCATGCACTGCATGGCCACTGACGCAGGTACAAAGCTGCATCTTCCAGTCCCAAGTAGGAACCAGGACTCTGTTTCAACTAGTAAAAGAAAACAAGCTGGCCTCTGAGTCTGGACTTGGCTCTTTTAGAACTGTCAAGGTTTGGAGTTTTGCTTCTAGTTTGTTTGCATAAATTGTATGTTAGCATTTATGATGCTTGTCATCTTGAACTGACAGCACAGTCTTTCACTATTCAAACACAGTCCACAACATCTCCACAGGGCTGTCATACTTGTGTGGCACAGATGGCTTTAGCTGCTAGTTCTCTCGAGGCTGGTAGTGCAGCTTCTTCAGGCAAGAACAACAGCAACATGTGGGCTTCATGTTTCTCTGACCATCTGACATGGCCAAGAAAGCTTTCTTCAGACACAGCTGGATTCCAGCTCAGCCTTCTAAGCCCAGCACAGTCACTGGGGATGCTGTGCACCCACCTGCAAGCTGGTTAATAGCCACATGCAGATGGAAAGCAGGTCTGGGAGAAGCAGCCATCCCCAGTGTGCAGGGCTCCTGTCTGCACATCTGTCCTCTCTCCCACCATGCCTGTCCCTTTATGGCTTCCAATAAAAGGAAAGTGAATGAGCAGTCTCCATTGTCCCTGTGTTGCTTGGACACTCAACTTCATGGCAGAGCAGCCATGAAGTTGAAAATCAACAGCAATGGTAGCTTTGCCTGCTTCAAATACTGAGGAAATAGTATGAAAATCAGGGGCTGCAGACTGTCAAAAAAAAAAAAAAACACCACTTAGCTTGGGGAAATACCGTGCAGCTGCATACGCCAATGGAAACAAAGATGTTAACAAAGCTGTGGGCTTTTTTTTTTGTAAAAAAGATGAATGCTTCCCTCCTTCCTCCTCAGCCTTGTACTTAAAGGATGAGATTTAAATGACTATCAGACCAACTTGCACATGAATATGAAGCATTTGAAATGATTATTTCCCATGTGATACTATTTGCTCAGTAACACGTCATGAGTTATTATTCACAGAGAGATATGAGTCACAGTGATCAGTAGTCAACATACTAACAACACACATACAAAATTCATTACTTCTTTCCAATCTCCAATGTGTTTGGTTCATCCTGGTGTAAAGACAGGATTTCTTCTTTTAAAAATGCACGGGGGAAAAAGCGAAAAGGCTTGGGGAAAAAAGCAAGGAAGGAATGGCAACCTTCAGTAGGATCTGCGCTTCAAAAATCATCTTGGCAGTTCAGAAAATTCAGCTGCCATGCCTACATGGCCTGATCCTCAGCTGGTGTAGCTTTGCAGAGCCAAAGTACAACCACCAAGGATGCGACTTGTGAATTTTAAAGGCAGAAGATTGGCTATAATCTGATCTCCAGTATGGCACAACTAACAGGCTCTCAAGTGGTTTCTGTAGAGAAAGGCATAACGTAATTGCCCCTCTGCCATTGTACCTTTTTCTCTTTCCCCCAAGTTTTGAGTAGATTAAAGGATCCATTGCTCAAGCATACAAGGCTACCACCAGCACACTGCAGACACATGCTTAAAAATACAACGCTGTGAAAGGGTGCTCCAACAGGAGCAAATCTGTTTAGTGATCTCTGATTTGATGTTTGCATGGAAGAGGAAGAGATTCTACTCGCTCAGATCTCCTTTAGTGTAGTACTTTCTGAAAATGTACTCACTTTTAGGATGTCATCCAGATGCATCACTTCCTGGTCCAGGTCCTGAAACTCTTTGTACTGCTCTTTATGAGGCTCAAGAGCTAAGAGAAGCCCTTGCAAGGCTTCTTCAATGCTTCCATCGAGATAAGACTTGTAGCCTTCTGATTCCCCACTGATGGACCCCTCACACGGCAGCCTCTCTGGGGTCCCAGGCACCTCAGCAGACGTCAGCCTTTTCACCAGCTGCTTGGTGATGTTGCCCTCATAGGTGTCCAGCTCCACCGGCTTTAGTTCAGAACCTTCATCTGTGTCCTGCAGGAGAGACACCGGGACGCTCGCCTCTATAAAGACACGATCGCTCCTGGCATCGGAGGGCTTTTGGCAAGCTTCAGAATGTGCCCTGGGGGCGGCCTTGATCCCAGTCACTGCTGCCTCTCTGGAGGATGGCAGGTCCTTGGGCTCAGGGACAGAGTCTCTGCAGGAGTCACTGCTGCTGCAGTCTGGGCTCGAGCTCTCAGACGACTTGTGAGCTCGGTGCTGAGTAGCAGTGGTGGTGATATCGGGGCTGGAGCTGACGTGAGCAGAGGAGGGCTCTGCTGGGTTGGCAGGGGGCACGCGGTCTTCATAAGGCAGGTCGCCAAAAGTGAAGGAAAGAGGCCGCTTCTCAGTGGTTGCTGTTCCATTTTCAAAGACATCATCCGGCAAGTTTGACTGAAAAGAGAATTGAGAAAGAGAGAAAATGTCTTTCATGTCTCATTGGAAAGAAAAAAAAAATGATCTATGTGTCTGGGAAAGACAAATACAAGGAATAAGATTTGAGAAGCAGTCAAGACTTGAGAAATGGGAAAACTGAAGGCCAACTTGTGCTTTCTTCTGGCACAGTTCCTGACTCCAGAAGGATTCTGCTGGTAACTCTAGGTTCAACATCTCTTTGGGGTAAGTCAAGAGCTCTGGTAAGCATGTCCCACAGCAGCAACCAAGCACTGTTTGTCTAAGCAAATTGACTCTGACAGCACTTCCATGGCACTACCCCACTTCTTGTGGGAAGTCCTCCTGATGGGCTACACTCAAGCTATCTTGGCTACATTTTCATGTTCTTACAGATTTCTGTTGTATTTATTTCCTGACTTAGCAATCCCTAAACTGTAAAACAGTCTGCTCCAAAAGTTTCGCCAGTCACATCATTTTAATGGGGATATGACCATGCTATTCCTTTCCTGTAGAAAGTACACAACCACATGCAGATACCTCTGCCTATTGCTGAACGTGAGCTACACAAGAATCATGTTCAACACGAACTTAATCCAAAAGGAAACAGAAGGATTTGTGTGGTGGTGTACTGAGCAGAATACTGATCACTTCGGAAACAAAAACAGCATATATTGATCCAAAAATGATATCACATGTTCCCCCCAGAGTGATTATCAGCACACATATACATTCACCTCTGGCTCACCTATGGGGACACTCACTGCAGGTTGTCTACCTGACCCCACTGCCTATCTGACGCACAAATTTTGCCTTAATCTCATGTTAAACTCACTTACTGCACTTTGGAGAGAGTTAGAACATTTCTGCTGACTTCTTCCCTGCTATCAGGTTTGAAGCATCTCAGAGCTGTAGTACACATCCTTCTATTATTTTACACAATTTTTAGAATGGAAAGAAAGGCAAAAAGCAGTAAGGAGGGGAAGTACAAGAACCTGCCTGGAGGCAGAATGTAATAAATTAAAGCCTGAAATTTCACACTGATGGGCTCTGAAACAAATTTTAGCCTTCATTACGTGGCAAACTCATGCAAAAGCACAGCACAGATGAATGACAACTAGTATTTTGCTGACAATTTGCTGGAAGGAACTATAGGCACTCCCATGTTGGCAAGGTACTCACAGTTAAAATGTTTGAAATTTTCATCATTTTTCCAGCAGCTTTTTTCCCTAGACATAACGACACTCTTATTTCTTCTTTCCCCTCACATGAGTGCACTTTCAACCTCTCCTTTACTGCTGAAAGTCAATTCACTCAGCAAATGTATAACATGAATCAGCATGGCACGCCATTTTCAATAACTGCATTTTTAAGAATACCATACTGGCTTGTGCTCCTGCTCTGCACTCCTCTCTGCACTCAAAACATTACCCCTGTAGAAACCAAGAGGAACTTTGCTTTACCGCAAGCAGCGTGGGTTCACACTCACGCTCTCCCCTGTCAGCAGTCAGCAAAATAAGCAAGTTGCACCAGAAAGCAGCACACGAGGCATGCATGGGAATGGAGATGCCACATGGGGACTGATAAACTCCTTCAGCACACAAATACCAGGACTCACATATAGCTCTAGCCCCGCTTTGGGGCTTAGCCTGAGCGATGGCAGATCACTAAAAGAGCGACTGCGCCGAAGCTTGTCAAAGAAAGTGTCTTGCAGAGCATCTAAGATTGCCAACCTTGGCCTGTCTTGCAGGGGATGCAGCCATTTCTTCAACAGTTAAAAGCAAACATGGTAAGGAGGGCAGGTTAACTGAATGCTTTGCAGCAGAGTATTTAAATTACAGGCAAGGGACATAGCACTTGTAAAATTCACATCTCTACAGATGGCCTATTCAGCTTAATATGCAGTCCTTATAAAGCATTCAGAATTTGTTTCACACAAAATCTAAGAGCACCTTACAAATCTCTTTTTTACCAGGGGACGCATTAAAAATACTATTGCGGCAATGCCTGTTTAACCACTGCCACAGGAAGAACAGAGATTTTATAGAGATTACTCAAGTAACACAGCAGTCAGAGGAGAACAGTTACATGGTAGTTGGCCATATAGCATGCCAGGACCACCATCACCTTCTTTGAGGATTAGCAGCTAGAAATGCATTTGCTTTATAAGCATCTGTGAGGGTAACCTGCTGACACCAGGGAAAAAAGCCTAGATGTAGAAAGCAATGAAGCATTTGCAGTGTTTGAACTGTGCTAGGGTTTCTCATTACATAAACATGAAGCCAAGGAGGGCTTACAAAGAACGAGTGATCCTTGAAGGTTGGCGTCTCTGGAGTGCCTTGGCTGTACATGGACATTCTCCTTTGGAGAGCGGAGGCCTTGCTCACATTTCCCGTGGTGGGGGTCAGGTCCTCCACATCAAAGGGGCTGCAAGCACACAGATGGGGAAAATAAAATAAAATAAAATAATAATAATTAAAAAAACATTGTTAGGCTGATGGAGAAGGAATTTCAGGTCCACAGAAAGGATTTTTTGAAAAGGGTGTTTATTAGCACATCAAATCTCAGAGCTGGCATTTTTTTTAACTGGAGTGTTTTAAAATGTTAATTAAGCAGCAGGCTCAGATGTACAGTTTTCATTTCTAAAAGCATTTTATTTTCAGAAACCTTTTATGCAGTACTGCCTGCTTCTCACAAGAAGGGTATTCTTGAAGCTGAGTTGACAGGTAGAACATGTAATAACAAGGTAGGTGCTCAGTAGAGTTAACAGTAGCTAATAGAGCTATTGTATTATAAAGGAAATCAGTTGCTGTCATTGCTAGCTTCGTATTTATTGCATTACAAGAAACAGCATACATGACTGTAGAAGTGAAAAACATTAATGCTGCTTAAGAAATGACAGTTATCTATTTCATTAAAACACACTGAGAATTGGCTCTGAATCCAAACATTATCAGCTTACCCATGCTTACCACTGCAGATAGACAGTGCTAGGAAACTTCCCACTGCCTTCACACCACATACAAAACCCACAAAGTCCAGCTTTTAAACCATGTTTTTTCCCACAAAGAGAGAAGAGACTACATTGATAGATCTCTTCTGTGTGATTTTTATCCATTTTCTTTAAAACAGCCACTTGACCCAGAGACCATCCAACCAGTTCTACTTACTACCAGGTGATTTCAAGGTTCAGCTTGATTGTGCCAAGGTCATTAATGTCTAC